CGACAAAAAAACTGGATGTTTACCCTCCAATAAATTAAAGTGAAAAACCCATTGTTCTTAAAAAATAATATAACGTTTTAAAATACATACCAGCAGGTCCTCTAGCTTAAATCGAGACCCAGTTTGTATATAAAAGGAACACAAAAATTAGGTAGTATCTTTGACGTAACAACCAAATAATTAAAATTCTTAAGAAACGAATAATGTTCGATCAGTTTTATATATTGTTAATGTCTCAATGGGTGACATAAAGATTAACGAACAAGCATATTTTTAATACTGCGTATCTTGGACATACGGAGCTTTTAAATTTTTCTTTTTTTTTTTTTGGATAGCGGATACTCAGTCTAGCGTTAGCGTATATTTTTTCAAACATTGTCCTAGATGGCCAATTAAAAATTACATAAGCCGCTGCGACCGTAGAGAAGCTAAAAATGTTTTTAAAATATTATTACATTCTTATTAAATGGCCAAAATTTAAAATTTTCCAAGTAAAGTGATGTTCCTTATCACTAATGATTTTGTAAAAAGCATTGCAGTAGTCTCTGGAAGTTTCTTTGAAATATATATATATATATATATATATATATATATATATATATATATATATATATATATATATATATATATATATATATATATATATATATATATATATATACAAAACTTTATTGCATTGTAAAATTGTAACATTTTGGGATCTTTGTCACTAAATAATAATCTTAAATATTGGAACGTTTTTACATCTAAAAGTAATGAAGTTAATAATTATAAGGCGATAATTTCCAAAATTTTGTAATCTCCCTGTGCATATATGAAAATTTCACTCTATGCAATTTTTTAAGTCATACATTGTTCAGACAGACACAGACACAGAGTTTTTTTTAAACCTAGGTGCTGAGATTAAAATAATAATAATAATTTGATAGATTATTCGCCATGTTGCATTTGATAATTGAAATAAAGAATGTGTAAAATTAAATTGTTTAAATTAAAATGAAATTTAAAATTTAAATAAATTAAAAAATTAATTAAACTTAATACAGGATTTAAGGGCGAGCATTATAAAATATAAAATTATATGAACAATTCGTGTTACTTCAATACAATACAAGTGACAAAAATGGGATCTGGATAACGTGATCGCTGAGATCGTAGAGTTTTTAATTATTATATGAGGAGGTGAGGACATTTCGTCGAGTGATAAACAACGTGATATTTTATAATTTTTTGTTCTTAATTCTTGATGGTCGTCGAATATGTAATGCAATTGGGAACATTACCAACTGGTAAGACTTAATAATAGTTCATTTTAAATAAACACTTTCCTTTTACTTACTTATTAACTAATGTAGTATGAGATACTGCTATTCGCAGAAATGCTCACAAAAATTATTATTTACAGCTTCGGCTATTTCGAATGAAATATTGAAATTTATTGTAAGAGAAGCATATATATTAAGAGCTAATTGAAATTGAAATTAACTCAAAACTTGAACAAACCGCCGGTTTTAAATGCAAAAAAATTGCGTGCCGATCGCAAGCAACTTGAAAGGTTTAGGAACCAATGTGTCAGTGTACGCTTTACGCTAAAAAGCCGTTTAAAATTAACTATGAAGTAACAAATTAGCCATTTCCTCGCATTCTTGTTCAATTAAAATATTTTCTTTTATTATAATTGTGAAGATTTATATTGCTAGAAGATTTGCCCGTAAACGTATACATTTCGTTGGTAACGTTAATCAAGAATGTTTGAAATATTAGTTCTGGTTAGAAATGAATCTGGAGATACGCTTCAGATCCGATTCGCATCGACCTGTTTACCGTAGCACGTTCGGGTTCGTTTCGTCATCGGCTGTTGGTGTCTCCAGTTCCTTTTGAAAATATTTTCGTTTTCCGCGAATAATAATTAATTTTTTGAGTTGATCAATAACTTTAAATTTTAAACGTTCCATTTTATATACCGTGAACGCTAAGTTGCAGTCGTTTGAATTTAAAAGTTATTAAATGTATTTTTTTAATGTCCCATTCGAAAATTAATATTTCAGAAAATACAGAGTGGTGAAAGTTAACATGAAATATTCCTGACAGTAGTATGGAAATTCCTAAGTTGTCGACATGAAGAATGATTGATTTATGTTATTTTAGAATCAGAATTAGCATTTAATTTCGTTTGAAGTTCGAACGCACGAAAAAATAAAAATCGAGTGACCTCTAACTTTATAGTCCGTTCGGGTTCGTTTCGCCATTATCCGGTTCTATATGACAACATTTTCATTTTCCTTGAATAACAGTGAATTTTTTTAGTTGATCCCTTTTGAAGAAGTTGCAATACGTATCAATAACACAATTTATCCAAGTTATTAACAAAAAATATGATAAAAAATTGTTACAATTAAATTTATATTGAAGTAAATTTGTACATCGCGTTGCCAAGACTACGAACTACAGAACAAAATTGGATAAAGTAAACAATATTGAGGCCACATTTTAAAATTTAGTCTGCTGTGTTAAATATGTCTGCTCCTAATTGTTAATATATTTTATTTACTTCAAAATATTGCAAGTGTTATCATACAAGCAACCATCCAACTGCAAAGCTTCAATTGGATAACACCTTTTATGCGGATAAGAGATATATGGATTGACGTATATAATAAATCACACTGTACATAATAGACAGCGTTAGACATAGCGTGACCGTAGCTTAGCAATTTGTTTTATTTATACGTTCATTATTAGTTTCCGTTGTTGCTGATTTTCTAAATTAGTTTACATTGTTAACCAGCACCGCCCTGCTTTATAAGATTTTATTAGCACACAATAGACTCGGAGATCAATAGCTTTCAGTTGTTAGGTAAAGGTAATGCTTACCGCGGTGGTCCGAATACGTTAAACATTCTATTTCTAAAGCAACTTCCTATTCCAAACCAGAACAAAATAAATATATACGAAAGCACCTACTCCATTATAGAAAAAAAATGTCCAAATTGATGAACAAGCGCTTATCATATTTTTGACTGTGTGCTATGTTTCTCCACGGTAAATAAACACTCGATAGTGTCAACAGAAACAATAGAAATATTTATTATCGAGATATCATCTCGGCTACGGCCGCTGAGAGTCGTAAGAGGTTTCGGATGTGTAAATTCTGCTGGGAATATTATTAAGCTGTTTAGATAGTTGCGAACTATTTATTACAAGATATAATATTTTCCTTTTTTTTTATTTGACCAGGGTACAAACGACATTAGAAATGAAAACCGTTGCTGCAAAAGTTTTTTCGACGAAATTGATTGAGGCCACAAGTTTGAAGCTAAAACTTTACTTTAAATTAGTTTCAACTTTGCCAGAGACATGATTTGAACTGTTAATGTATAAATTTATATCCACAGGTTAGTTACGTAATCAAAGTGTCATAAAATAAATCAATAGTCAAAAAATGAATTACTTTTACGTATTACTAGTAATATTTTGTGGAAAACGCAAGTTGTTTTCCTATTTAGGATCACATCTTTAATAAGTGATACGAATGGAAGAAATGAACTTAATATGCAATCGATATGAATCAACTTTGTATGAGCTTGAGCTTTATATGCATAAAGCTTTTACGATCCTATCGTTAAAATTTGTATAGATCGGTAGATATTTATTATTAAAAAAAGATTCTTCAAATCGGATTCCCATTTTGACTTTGTCAGCAAAAGAACAAAAAATACAAAATAACTTTCCAAAACTTTACAAAACAAACAGTACAAAAATATGTATCTACTGTGATCTCAAATTGGGTTGAAGGCAAATTTTGCTGTGTTAGGGTTATACGATTTCATGTTAGTCATATTTAGTTTTGATTGGATTTAAAATAAAAAAAAATAACAAAAATATTGAAATTGAATTTATTTGTTTTTTTTTGGTTTTATAAGTAAGAATATAACCTGTAAGTATTTAAATATAAGCTAGAGATAAAGACAAACTCTTGAGTTTGTCGTTTTTTAATAATCTTATTACGAATAATATCATACTAAACCTTACGAATACCTACTACCAAATAATTAACTTAACCAAGTTAAAACATTTTTATATAAATGCTTACGACCACAGCAATAAGAAACGAACTGTAGCGTAAACTTGACCAAGGCCTTTTGACAATACTGGGACACCTTCGAATCGAAACGGGACATGCACTTTTTCGTTGCTAGATTTATGTGAAGCTGCCCGCCCTATTGTAATCTCGATATTTACCGTGGATATATTGTAATTTCCACCGTATAATAAGTACGTCGGCAGTGAAATATGAACATTCGATAATATTATTGCAGAGCGATACAGGCCTAATCTTTGTCGTTACGAGTTTCGTCGTGGTAGTTTCATTTAATTTATGACTTCCCAACATAAGTAATTAGTCAAAAAAAAACATTTTTCAGGATTTGGGTCAAAATATCACTTCAGGAATATTTAAATTTAGTGAATATCTAATATCCAACATGCAATTTACATGAAAACATAACTTATTTTTTGTGAATCAAACAAACTTACTTTACATGCGGCTAACATATTACCGATATAATTTTAGAAGAATTCCCGTAAGCTGATATTTCTAGTTAACATATTTTAGCAATTTCACGATTAGAGCTGATTAAATGTCAATCGCAACTTACCATCAGAAATGTGCTTAATTAAAGATTGATTTATATCGCATATTATGGGCATATTTAATTATAAAAAAGTTATTCGTCTTCGCGCGTTCAAGTTTTTCATCAAAATAATTTACATTCGTGTTAAGGGGTTCAAGGCTAGTTTGTTTATCCGCGAGCTTAAACGATTTCCTCAAAACCGGGTTATATTGTAGCGCTCGAATTAAAAATTAAAATTAGAATTATGAATTATATTTTACATTTGTAATATTTGCTCCTTAATTTTCGCGGTGGCCAAAAAAAAAGTGTTTAATCAAGGTTTAATTCCTCCGAGCGTACGAAGTTCGAAAATTAAAATCAAGTTACCTTTGAAAGTGGAAAAATATAATCCGCAGCCACCACGTATCGGGTATCCTTGGACACTCTAAAACAGTTAAAGCACGCGACTCAAGATATTCGCGAAGTGGTACCTGAAAGCCCGCAGAAGGTGCCGCTCGTACGCCGGTGCTTTACTTGGCCCGCTCTATCTATTGTTAGGTACTTAAGTAGACTGACTCTCTCGGGTTATCGTTTTCAGCGGTTCGCGTTTCAACTTTGGTGCCCGGACGCCTCCTTTCTTCTGTTTTCGGTTAGTTTGTCACCGCCTACCGTCAAAAAATGGTACCGTTTTTGTAGGCGGTGGAGGGAAAAGGAAACAAAACGAGATTAGGTGGTTTTTGGAAGACGGCGTCGTCACCATGTGGGTCATAATGGATACGCACGTTTGGTGCACGTTTCATATAGTTTTACAATACCCTGGAATACGCAAAAAGCATTGTTTATTTAAATGTTTTTAAATTATTTTATATCGCTTTCCCTGGTTTCTTATTCATATTACGTTTTATTCGACTTATGTTTTAGGAGAGGGTGGGGAAGGCGGACCACTTAAGATTTTTATTTTTATTTTTTGGTTTTTAACCATAAAGTCGATTTATTTTTTACTAACCAAAACTATTTTTCTATAGATTAAAAAATTATTGGTATTTATAGGATTTTCGAAAGCGCTGGCTTTAGGCTAAATAGCCGTATGGGTGGCCGTCGTGCCCCACTCTCCCCTATTTATAATGTTATATATAATAACTATAATTATTTATTAAAAAGTATTTAATAAAAAAAACGTTACGGATTAGTAACTATTTTTCTATCGATTAAAATATTTGTTGGTATTTATAAGATTTTCGAAAGCTCTGGCTTGAGGCTAATTCCATATAATTATTCAAAAAATAAAACTTTCAATAAATCAATTATGATTCGGTTATAATAACATGGAATACCTTTTTTTGAGAATTTTTAAGCGGTCCGTCTTATCCCTGGTTTTTCAAATAACTTATACCCATAAATTTATAATTATTAGAAGGGAAAACGAAAAATAAATTTGGTTTATTTTTGAGGTATGCTTCCTGGCCCCACCCTCCCCTAGTACCTATTTGTTTGAGATCCAGCTCATTTTTTTTTTGTTTCGATTGCTACCCCCTCTTTGTTGACAGAGTAATTTATTAGGTGACAAGATAATGCAATACGAGGTTTTCATTATGCGGATTCAAGGTGGCGAATTTATACTCGTATAAGTATCTCAATCTCACGCCGTGTTGAATAACATCCCTTGCCAGTCACAGCTTTTCCTCTAGATTTCGAATATTTTAATTTTAAATGATTCAATGTTACTTTTTTTCGCAAATAGTCATCTCTATCAATATTAACTTGGATAAGACATAATTCGTGAAAATATTGTCTATTGTTGTTTTACTTTTGTGTTGTACCCTTGTTGAATCAAAAATCAAAAATCGTTTTATTTAATCCAAAGCACATCAAGAGATTCGCATCCTTAGAGGCATTTCTATAGTTATTGTCACGAAAGTTCATCTTAAAGTCTCCACAAAAGAATGATTTATAATTCAAGAAAGCATGTAATTGATAAAAATATTCAAATCACAGTTAGGTGATCGGTAAATTACGGCAATGCGATATACTCCTTGGTTGTTGCAAATGACTAAACCATATTCAAAAAATATCCTGAAAAAAATTTGTATCTCTATAACAAAGGAGAACAAGGGAGATAGATGGCTACTCTTACTGCTGTCTCCGTAATGGTAAGAGTTACCACATCGGTAAGACTTCTTGTTTTTTGAGATCCATTCGGCACACGCTTACGCTGTTGCCAAAGCACTTGTAATTCCTGAAAAGCGCCGAAATGGATTTGATCAATTATTAGGAAAATTGTTAATTGTTTATCCTAATTTTTTTTAAAGTTGCCGCTACAGCAAAAAAAAAAACAGGTTCGCACTTGGTAAGGAAAAACTAAGATATTTTTGTGTCAGAACGACATGTTTGAATTGTTTAAAAGCATCATTTTGAAAAACAAAATATGAAGCGGCACACTTTGCAATTTAAAATGTGGCTCAAATATTGACAGTTTTTGAAATTTTAAAAGAAATTTTTCAATTCTGTAAACGAATCTTGAATGGACGTCAAAAAGGGCAACTAGCGAACAAAAACACAAACTAATGCGTAATATCAATCTAAGCTAACTTAAAAAATTTGAAGAACAAAGAAGCAGTTGTAAAGGCTATTTCTTGTCACACGTCATAAACTAGATTATACCATTCGATAAACTTATAGCAAAATTAGCCATAAATTTTAATAGCTTTTAGTAAGAGAATTATATTTACCAATTCTTATCCACTTTTTGGCAAAAAAAGTAGAAATAATTTATATATTATTTGAAAAAACTCTTGCTGTAATGAAATTATAAAAAGAAATTGTAAAATTTTAGTACAAAACTTATAAAACTGTCAAATGACTGATTTTAGGCAAATATTTGGAATGTTTATTTAAATAAAGTTGTTTAAAAGAACTCAAAACCGTACCTAGGAAGATGTAAATAACTGCGGAAAACGCGAAACATTTATTATAAGAAAAGGCATTAGACGTAACTAAAACCGTCTAATACATGTCCTCAGTTGACCATAAAAATGTCTTTGTGTCTTTCGCAAGGCGGCATTATGTAGATGGAAATTATTACTTCTCCGAACATGCGGCGAATTGGTCCATAGACTTGCAACGCGTAAAATGCCATATGCGTACGTAGGTAACTTTACCGCAGATTGCGGTGAGCCTATTACGTGAATATGTAAATGCAAAGCTCGGTTACAATTTCGCTAATTAAAATAAAATTTAGGGCGTACATTCTTTTAATGAAACTTTCAAATATATGGAAGCATTTACCACCTAAAGAAAATCTTGTAGACCTGCAAAACTGGGGACGATCTATTAACACAAATAAATCTAAATATGTAATTACCAAACCTTATTACTTTTAAACGGAGAAGCGTTGAATAGAGTGAAAAAGTTTAAATATCTCTCCTGCTGGATTATTCAAGATTCATATGAAATAAGGTGGTATAGAGCGAGCAAGAAATATCTTTCAGAAGTTCAGGTCGTTGCTTTCAAATAATACAATAAATATCCAAAAAAGAGAAAAATTTGTAAAATGTTACATTCTTATGTATGTTCAATAAGATCGAATCATTTGGAATGCAGGAGAATCCTTAAAAAATCCTGAACCACAAGAACCAGAAATGAAGAAGTTGTTCGAAGAATGGGACATGACAGACTACTTCTGAGTATCGTCAGGCACCGAAAACTTGAATACCTGTGCCAGAGGACCTCGATATGACTTTCTTCTACTGATCCTTAAAGGAAAAAATAGAAGAAAAAAGTGGATTATGCGTAAGAGACTTTCCTGGCTAAGAAACCTGAGGCAATGGACAGGCCTTAATGCATGTGTATGTAACTGTCAGAGTTTAACAAGTTATACTTTTTTAAATTAGCTGCAGTTCCATTTCAAAAATTGAACTAAGGTGGCTTTTACTTGATGAACATCCATTTATCAAAATAAATAAGAAATAAAAGTTCAGATTTTCACGAAATTCTATATTTTCACATGACATAATATATAATTTCGTGAAAATCTGAACTTTTAGTTCTTATTTATTTTGAGTTCCATTTTACGTTACAGGTGATCTTAAATTTACCACCATACGCATTCAAGACACTCGACGAAAAAGGCTAATGGTGATGATGATGAAAAAGTCCAAAGTTTTAAATTAGATTTACAAACGCGAATCAATAATGGAGTTCGTTTATTTTACTACTTGGTAAAGTTTGTTGAACTGGTGTGTCGTTGGTGGTTTACTAAATTTCGTACTATATCAGACGAAACCACTTGAGTAGAGTTACTGTTTCACTCAATGATTATAGCTGTCTGTTGATGGTATAGATTAGTTCATCTGCTTGCCGTTTAGTCAAGTGTCTTATCTTTTTTAACAAATGTAAACGTTTAAAAATACTTTAGAACACTTTTATTTTATGTTTTTGGAGCATATAATGTGAGTAGTACCGACTCAATCATATTTGCGCTATCGATGACGCTGATGCGTATGCAATATAATAATATAAATACAAAATGATATCAAACTATTGTTGTGTTGTGTTAATATAGATCAAAGACAGAAGTTCACAAGTCTTAAATCGTGAATTTCACTACAAACAGCAGCTAACCAAAACCTCCTCGACCACATTTCAATAATTTGGCTTAAAAGCTTTATAGCTCCTAGAGGTATGGAGGCCCTACCGATGCCGATAATACAGGAATTTTTAAACACGCGTATGCGCGGGATCTTAAATCTCGTTTTTTAAAAAATGACTTTGCGGGATTCAACAACCAACATGGCCGCTGACAGATAATTAGTTTGGATGCGGCATTTTTACGGCAATATTTGCTCAAAATATACCTGAATCTCGTTAAATTGGGTTTAAGATTTGGAGAAAATAAGTTTAAGTGTATGAAAATCGCTGTTTAGAAAGAAAACGGTGCAAAGTACAGAGACGTGTGAGTTATTTTGACACAAAGGTAAAGTACTTGAATTTGACAAGGGAGAGATGGATCTATGGTCCGGGTCTTTGCTGTTAATTTTTATTTTCATTTTATTACTTGTACATTCATATAGAGATTATCTTAATGCGTTCCAAATACTTTTGAGAGAAGGGCACTTTTGAGATATGTAATAAATGTTTAATCAAAAAAATGAGAGACATTTTAATGTGGAAATTTTTAATATCCAATAATGAATTAAAACAAGAAATTGATGTACTGTCCATTGGAACGCGACCTGATGCATATTACATATATTTTATCTGTCTATCTATCTATTGCATCTCAATCAGATAAAATAGACACGTGTAGCTTAATGCGTTCACTGAACAAGTTGGTAGGATTACACTCTAAAAGAATAATTCAGTTGTAATGACTTAACAAAAGTTTAACGTATGGTTTTAGATGACTACGCGTTTTTGAAATGATTCAGCAGATATTTCCGATTGCGCAAAAAGAAGATATGTATTGCGACGACCGCCTTAGCAAAAATCCGCTATACAGATTATCCTTCGAAAACATATGAACCCGAATACTAAAAATATTTCCAGATACAATACAATTTTCCGCATT